TTTGGTGGGAGTGCCGATGAAGCAAACGTATATTTGCTATAGCAATCGACTACGTCACTTATTTTCGTATTAGAGTAGAGTTTCGAGACTACCAGTAAATCAGTTCAGTTTGATGCAGTCCACGAAACATCCTCCAACGTTTCTGGTAAACACGGGCTAACACTATTTCAATTAAACTGGCCAACGGGATATCATCCTTACAATAATATCCAAGTTAACGAGTCAAGAAAACTCACTAATTCATCCTTAATATATTGCAGACACACTCTATAGTTAAACTCTTCGATAGGGCTTGAACAAGAATGAGTCTAAACCTTGACGATGTTCCTCACATGACAAAAGAAGGCACAGCCAGTCTTCACCCGAAACATTGGAGAATGTCTCGTGGACTGCATCGAACTAAACGGACGCGAATCAGCCGATGTCTTGCGCTGAGATGGTTCTACGAATCTCTTCATCATGTACTTCCATACGAAATGAAAGTATTCACATCAATCTTATGTAAATAGAATCAACGAAGACCGCATTTTCTTCGTATATGGAAAATGATAACAAAGCAAATGAGGGAGGGAAGAAAAGAAAGCGAAATGAAGACCGTCCGAAGACCCCTTGACTGTCCGATACACTAACAGGTGATGCCTCCGAAGCGGTGGAGTAAGCCCACGAATGTCAGTCCATTGCTTCTGCTCTAATTTGCCCAAGGGGATGAAAACAGAAAGACAGGCCGAGGGGACAACAATGTTAGATCAGTGGGTACAAAAGAGCAAACAGCCAAACAGTCCGTAATTGTCAAGACACGGACGGGGGGCATCAGATTATGGTGCAGGTGATTACCGGCAAAGATTTAGCAGTTTAGTGATTCTTTTAGGGTGCAATTGTTACGTGAATTGGTATCTGTTTGCCCTGCCTCTGTTCATTCATGCGTCGTCAATGTGCGAACATGTGCATGTGGGCATACAGAGAACCTGTTATTCTGTCGGATCACATGGCCTCGGACGGCCCAGGTTTCTCACATGCATAACCTCTGTCTCTATCTCTTCCCACAACACACAGGCAAGCACATACACATACACACACACACATGCGTTGACGCATCTGTTAGGCCTGCATCGTAAAGCGGACGCGGAAACACACGCACCGCCGGACCAAATTACCCTCGGCCGGGCGAAGGGCGATAATCGCAAAGTGAACTTGAGTGCTCGCTGTGGGGGCCTGCTATGGAGACCCGGCGGGGTCAGTCCGAGGTCTCAGTTGTGCAACCTGGACGCGCCCGATTCGACAAGTCGACGTGCCTGGCGAAGGCAAGCGAAAGGCTTTGCGAGTCGTTCAGACGAACGAATGAACCGGGGCAAATGAGAGAAAAAGATGGGAATTTCAGATGAGCCAGCAATTCAAGAGATTAGTTGGGCGAAAATAATGAACGTGCCCCGGCGTATATTGACAGGCTTCAGTGGACATGTTGTCCGGAGACGTGGATGAAATGTTGGTGTGCCGGAGAGAGGAGAAAGAGGAAGTCGAGGGCGCTGAAGCTAGGATGCAATCTGTATTTCCAAAAAGGCCAGATAACCGGCATCTGTTTTGAGCCGGATATATTCATACTGGGCCAAAGGGCCATAAACCCTGGCCTAAGAAACGTATATGCGCCCAAGTATAGTGTCATTGGGTGTAAGTGTATCCATATGCATGTATGTGTGCGCATAGACTCCGGACAGTGCCTGTGCATACCTAAAAGGATGTTAGCCACTAGGTCGTGCTGACATCTGCTTGTGCGTGTGTGCGTGTGTGTGTGTGTGCCCATTTCTTTTAGGGCAGTTTCTGAGCCGGGCACAAGAAAATGCGACCCTGGGAAAGAGGCGTTGGCGGGCCCCGGTTGGACCTCATAAAATTGACATAAAAGTATGAACCAATGAGATCAAAAACTGTCTCAGCCTCAAGACAGTTGTTAGCATCCCACCTCGCACCACCTCCCTGCCCGACCGTCTTGGCACACCTTCGGCACGACGTGTGCTGAATTGTATCAGGGCGGGGTCAAAGGATGTGCCGGCCGCTGAAAGCCGGGCAGAAGATATTTCAAAAGCAGCGCTAAAAGATAGTTGAAGGCCTTAAGACAGGCCGTGAATTCGGGACTGAGGCCGATTTCGCCCTGACTCTGTGCTCTTAGGTAGGCAAAAATGAGAAAATAATTGGGTAATTACACTAGACGACAGTCATTGAGGCGAAAAAGATGAAAAAAAAGTATTAAGGGAGAGCAGATTGAGGGGTGGAGGCACAGAAGTGACATGAACGTGGCCATGGGGAAACGGAAGAGGTCGCAAAAGTGTCTTCGCGATCGGCAGCCTGCTTCGTGTGTATACCGGGGTTTAGTCGTAAAATTCACATTGGTTGAAAATGAGTATGCATTTGAACCCTCGGCTAGGGCATGAACTGGGCGCAGGCCAAGTGGGCAAACAAGTCGTGGCCGTTAAGACAAGGGCAGTCGAGGGGATCCACACCCACACTTATCCTGTCCCAGATAATTAGGGCAACTCAGTTTGTGGATCTCACTTATCAGACAAGAGGTGTGGGTTGCGTACACGTGCGCATGTGTGTGTGTGTGTGTTGTTATATATGAGTAGGTGCTTGCTTTCTTTGGTATGTGTGAATGTGCGGGGTGTGCGTAATGTGCATACCTTTCGCACATTTGGTCTTTCTCTTCAAACGACCATACAAAGAATGAAGTGAAGGAGTGAGGTCAAACAATTCATGAATGCAGCTGAAACGATACTATTTCATCGTGAATATGGGTGGTCGGAAAAGTCTGATGGGGAGAACCACATGTGCTGAGAGATTAGTGACGCAACCAGCGAAGTGGACCCAGGGAGAAGGAGGAAAATAGACGTTGTGGTGATTAGCCGATCTGGATTGGGCAGAGGATGGGTGGAAAAAGAGAGCTTTGATCTACTCTGAACAAAACGTCTTAAGGTTGCCTGACCTCGCGGACTTCACCAAAATACGACTTGAAGCCGAAATTGCAGTTGAAATCGGAGAGGAAAGTGGAGGGAAGAAAAGAGCTAAATAATGACGTAAGTCAATCAGATTTGGTATGCTGCTAGCCTCATGCCCTTTTAGTATATTCTAAAGCAAAAATACATTTATTTTGAACACATTCATCAATCAAGTAGTGCCGAGCTTTATTCGGTTGGCTGAATATAAATAAAAGACGGCAAAACAGAATGCAGGCTGATGGTTACAACGAGTTAGCCTACCAGAAAGGCGTAATCGCACAAAATGAGGGCAGGGCTATTAGTTGTGTGCCAGAGTGGCAGTAAAAAATGCACATCAGTCGGGTGTGAACAGGATTATTCAAAAACGTATATTAACTTATTTTGCACTCACACACTGTCCAACATAGAATTAATGCGTCTATTGGCACTTGGCCGGGGGTTGGTTGCTGTAAGAGAATTTCGTCTTGAGCCTTATCTGAGTGATGGTAGATCACAGTTGCTAAGGTATCTCC